CAGCTCTCATGTGTAAGGCAGGACTAGAACTCACAGTCTCCTGGTGACAGGTCCAAAGTCACCTAGCCAGTTTTCATATCAAGGTGGCACTAGAACTCACAGTCTCCTCATGACTAGCCCAAAGTTACCCTGCTTCCTTTCATGGTGGGACTAGAACTCTCAGTCTCCTGGTTTCTAGCCTGGCACCTTATCCACTACCCCAAACTGCCTTGTGTGTGTGTGTGTGTAATGGTATGTCAACGTTCAGGAGTATCCACTGGCAGAAAAGTCTGCTGGATTTGTTTTGAATCTGCTGCATGTTCAATTGAACACACAAGTAAAATACCCATGGGGCCCCAATCTACATTGGCTTGAGTTCAACCCAATCCGGAGAACCACAGGTCCCATAATCCTGTTTTATCCTAATGGCAGCAGGGCTAGACTACACCCTCGCCCCAAATCCATTCTGCTCTCCCATAGCAGAGCCACAAGGAACTACAAAGCTTTCTTTTCAGTTTCTGATTCACTGCAGCTTGCACCAGCCAAGCACAATGCTTGGACAATCCGAGCTTTGATTAAAAAAAAAAAAAAAACCCACTTAAGACTGTTCCAAACAAACCACAGTCAACATAAACCACAGCTGAGAATTCGGCCACAACGCTGAACTGCGGTGAATTGAAATTAAAAACAAAAGCCTCAACCTCTTTGAAGCTGTGAAATGGGAAGGAGCGAAAAGCCACAAAGGTTACTCTTATCTTTTCCTTTTATTTTTCTTGACTTGCCAGAAGCTCACGGGCTTCTTTCTTGAGGCACTTAGGTACAAAAAAGCACAAACATTATATACAATATTATGCAAGTGATCCTGGGGTCAGGATTCCGGCAGTTACCCCCATTTAAATCATGAGCCTCAAGCCAAATTTCCAATATTAAACAGGATTTATTGGGAGTTAACATGTCCGGCACTGCCTGGGTGTAGCCGATTCTGAGATACGTAATTCATTGTCACCCTTGACCCTGGTTTTCCCTCCACCCCTCCGGGTGTATCATAATTCCTATTCTCCCATGAAACACATCCATAGCCAAGAGTCATCAATCATGTTCTCCAGTTAGAGTTTTGCACAGCAGAAACTTCAGTCGCCTAGTTACAATCTCTGAAGAAAATATGAATGGAATGCACTTTCAATTCCAAACTGCTGCACTGCACTTTCAAACCGCTTCCTCCCCCTCTCTTTCTGTTGGCAACTATAAGACGGGCATGGAAAACGTTTTATGAATTGACACCTGGTTTAATGTCAAGTTGCTTGCATTCTAGCATTGATGCTGTTACCTAGCTGGATCATGAAATATCTGTAAGAAAACAACCAAGTTCAGAAAGCACCAGGCCTCCCCAGTCCTTCCTGTTTCTCCTCCTCCTGTCTGCAATCCCCACTCCACCGATAGCACTGATGATGTTAGCTAATCGGGTCATGAAACGTCTGCAAGAAAACAACCAAGCTCAGAAAGCACCCAGCCCGCCCTCCACAGTCCTTCCTGCTCCTTTTCCTCCCATCTGCAATCCCCACTCCCTTGTAGCACTGATGATATTACCTAGTTGGGGAATGAATCGTCTGCAAGAAGACAACAAAGTTCAGGGACCACCAAAGACCCCATAGTAAACAATACCCCAAACAAGGAACGACCAATTTCAAACAAACAATCAGGAAACAACAGCCTATTTAGGAACCACCAAGAATGCGCCCACCAACACTGATCGGACCAGCCACTTATATATAAACAGAGTGCAAACCCCAGTCCCTTCTAGCACTGACGATGTTACCTAGTTGGGTCATGAGACGTCTGCACGAAAACCACCAAACTCAGAGAGCACCACGGATCCCACATAAACAGCCCAATTTGGTTATTTAACCAGAACTCAAAGCAACCTCCGCCAAGAGCTGGCACGACCTACCTTTCTTTATTTTAGGGGAGCGCAGTAAAGCGCCACTGGTGGGACAAGTGCAGGAAGCATTCGCATTGGTCACAATGACCTCGACGCGGCTGCTCCGCTCTTCCGGGCTGCCACAGGCTGTGCAGCTGGTCTCCAAGAAATTTTCCTTCAAAGAGACAGAAAAGGAACGTGAACGCCACACGCCCTGCTCGCGGGCGCAAGCAGGTGGCTGTTGTGGCCCGCCAGCGGAGCTGGTGGCAGACTTGGACAGTGAGTCCAAGTAACCCCCCTGAGATCAAACATGACCCTGATGCAACCCTCAATGAAATGGAGTTTGACACCCTTGCGTCAAAGGAATGGTTGTAAGCAGAGGTAGCATTCAGCCAGTTCTGACCAGTTCTGGAGAACTGGTAGCGGAAATTTTGAGTAGTTCAGAGAACCGGCCAATACCACCTCTGACTGGCCCTGTCCCGCATCTCTTCTCTGCCTCCCATTGAGTCCCAGCTGATCGACTGGGTCTTCTTTGGTTGCCCTGCACAGGAGAATGGAGCTGGAAAGCAGGTTAGTGGGGTGGGGAGGGAAGGGGGATTTTGCAGTAACCTTCCCCTGACATGCCCACCAAGCCACGCCCACCGAACTGGTAGTAAAAAAAAATTGAATCCCACCAACGGTTGTAAGTCACGGGCCCCCTGCATCTCCATCCCGCCACCTTGTTGCCCCCAGCTTCCCATTCAAGGAGAAGACAACTTAAGGAAGTCCCACCTCTTCCTCCCACTTCAAAAACCAGGCAGCAATCCATCCGCGCAGGAGTTCGGCGCCCCTCACCTTTTCTTGGCTCCGCATGTCCTTCTCCTCCATCACTTGCAACGGAGCCGGGATCTCACAGACGCACTTATTTTTCCTCCGGTTCTTCCGTTTCTGGCGCTTCTTCTCCTGCTTGAGTTCCCGCACCCTCTCCTCTTCGGAGAACTCCTCGCACAGCTGCTCCAGCCGGCTGATGCCTTGCACCCTCTCCACCGCCATCTGCTTAGAAAAAGAGTGGATCAGGGGGGCAGGATCCAAGGTGACGTTTTGCTCCTTCCCTAAAACTACCGTCAACTCATAAAACATTTTGTATATATGTTTTATAGTTGACAACAGAAAGAAGGTGGGGGGGTTTCAAAGAGCAGACAACAGTGTGGAATCGAAAGTACATTCCATTCATATTTTCTTCAAAGACTGATTAGATGACTGAAGCTTCTGCCGTGCAAAAATCTAATTGGAGAGCATGATTGATGACTCTTGGCTATGGATTTTCCTTGGATGATGGGGGGAAAGCAGGATCAAGGGTGACAGTGAATTACGTATCGCAGAGTTGGCTACGCCCAGGTTAGTGCAGGACATAGAATGTTAACTTCAAATAAATCCTCTTTAGTTTTGGGAGTGTGGCTCGAGGCTCATGATTTAATTGGAGTAACTGCCGGAATCCTGACCCTAACCCTACAACGGGACCCTGTATCCTACCCTTACGGCATCCGGTTTCGGTCGCCACGATATAAAAACGATATTGAGACTTTGAAAGAGTGAAAGGACAGAATTGTTTTTACTAAGGATCACCTCAGAGGGCTATGACGAAGGGACAATATATTTAATATTACATGTTTTGACTGCAGCAAGAATTGTATACGTGCAGCAGAAGAATGAAAACACCCTGTTTAGAGGATGAAACGATAAGGAAGATACTAGACTGTGTGGAAATGGACAGACAAACACTAAAAATAAAAGATAAAGGAGATACAGAATACTATTTAACATGGAATAGGTTTTATCAATGGTTAGAAACACGAGGTAGAAGTTGGAAGACGAAAGAATCAGGTTAACTCTGCCCACTGCCAGGAGTTTGATCAACGTTCTGCTGCTCAAGGTTGACTCATCCTTCCATGGTCAGTAAAATGAGGACCCAGATTGTTTGGGGTAAAAATGAAAGTTTTACCAAAAATTATTTTTGTTGCTTTGGATGATGCCAATTAAATTTTTGGATCAAGAATGAAAGCAAATACAGAGGTTGCTGGAGGTGTATTGTAATGGAGGCAAGAGAGCAAGAATAAGTAAAGCATTATGGTATGAACCATTAAAGAAGGGTCGGCTGGGTCTTCCAAATGTTAGAAATTATTAGGTAGCTAATCAATTAAAGGTGGTCCCAGATATTATACCAGTAACTAGAGATTTAATATGGAGGGATATAGAGCAACCAGGATGATTAGAGCATCTAAAGAGACTAAAGCATATGAAGGAACTGGACTTGGCTAGTCTAGTGAAGAGAAGGACCAGGGGAGACATGATAGCGGTCTTCCAATATTTGAGAGGCTGCCACAGAGAGGAGGAAGGGGTCAAGCTATTTTCTAAAGCACCCAAAGGCCAGACAAGGAATAATGGGTGGAAACTGAACAAGGAGAGATTTAACCTGGAAATAAGGAGAAACTTTCTGACAGTGAGAACAATCAACCAATGGAACAGCTTGAGACTTTCAAAAAGAGATTGGACTCCCATCTATCAGTAATGGTGTAGGGTCTCCTGCTTGGGCAGGGGGTTGGACTAGATGACCTACAAGGTCCCTTCCAACTCTGATTATCTGTTATCTGAAAGAATTAAGGGAAATAGGTGAACCTGTAGTAACATATTGGTTTAAAGAGGATATTTTAAAAATTGCTAGGATTCAAAATTCCTTTTTGAAAAATTTGATAGAATTATGGAATAAATGGAGATATTCCCTAAGATTGAATTGAAAGAATGGATTAGTAAATTACAAGAAAAATCAGATATATAAATGGGAAGACTGGAAGAACAAGATAAAGAATATAACACAATTAAAGAACGTTTTATCAGATATTAAATTAAATTGGTTGAATTTGATACAATTAGAGAAATGGATAAAAGGGGAAGAAGGGTTTGAGGAGAAAGATGGTTAACAAAATTTGAAATGATTATAAAAGAATGTGAGGTGAATGAAGAATATACAGGTAAAGGAAGAATTGGGAAAATATATAGAATATTAACTGAATTAGAAGAGCAGGCAAAAGGTTTAAAATTAATTTGGCAATCAGATTTAGGAGAAATAAATGATAATGATTGGAAAAATATTTGGAATAGAAGAGTATATAAGAGTATGTCAGTTAGAGTTAAGGAAAATGGATATAAAGTGATATGGAGGTAATACCTAACACCACATAAATTAAATCAAATAGATGGTAAATATACAAATATTTGTTGGAGGTGCAAGAAAGAGGTTGGAACATATAAGCATGTGTGGTGGGATTGTGATAGTGCACAACAAATATGGGACATGGTGTTTAGAGAAATTAATGCACTTTTGAATGTAAATTTAGATATGTCACTGAGAATTGTATTACTGTTATTGGTGGAAAAATGGGATATAAATGAAACAAAAAAGGAATTGATTGTAAATTTGGTAATGGCTGCTAGATTAGTGATGGCTATATATTGGGGACGAAATTGGGATATTCAAAGAAATGAGCGGTATAATGAAATTTGGAGTATGGCAATAAATGATAAATTAACAACAAAAATTAAATTTAAAAAAGGGATGATTAAAGCAAACAATTTTAATGAACTATGGGGTGGTGGTTATGAAATCAGTGTTGGTGGAAGGCAAAGGAAATAAATCTACTCAAGAATATATGTCGATATGACAAGGATAAGGGCACAATTGGAATATATAGTAAATCTGTTAATTGTTATAGAAGAAGAATTATAAGGAAAAAAATGGTCTCAGGCAGTGGGGCGCACTGTAATATTTGTATTTTTTTCTTTTTTTTTCCTTTTGTATTTAAATGCATATGTATTATGTTTGTATTATCTGTATTTAAAATAAAAAATATTAATTAAAAAAAAGATGCTGACTCTGTAAACCGCTTAGAGAGGGCTGTAAAGCCCTGTGAAGCGGTATATAAGTCTGAAGTGCTACCGCTCTTGAAACCATCCCCACTTCCTGCCCCCTGCTGCTACCAGTCCAAGCCAGAAAGTTTGGACAGCCCTGTTCTAAGGGACACGGACAGACATCTCCCCCCACCCCTATTTAGGGATTTTGTCTTCACTGTGAGTTGTATTGTGTTTGGAGGGGGGTGGGTGCACGAAGGGAGGCTCAGCCAATGTCATCCTATACATGTTGTACTCTGACAATAAAGGTTACTGAATTGAATTCAATTTTGAATTTTGAATTGAATTTTGAATTGAATTCAATTCATCCCAGAATTCCACAGACCTCAGTGCTTTTCCTACTTCCTGCTTTTACCCCCTCCAGGTAAGCAAGGAAACCAGAGAGCTGCTACCTCAAAGCTTTTGCGTAAAGCATCGACCCCCAGGTAGAAAAGCATCTGCCAAGTCTGTTCCTCGGCCCGCAGCTTCTGCCAGATGCGGTGCAGCCGTTCATACAGGTGGATGCCCAAGCAGGTAAGGACCTCTTCCTGGGCAATGTCTATTGTCTTCGCGTGTCTTTCTCGTCTCCTGGAAAAAAACGAAAGGAAACAGGGAAACGTGGCAAGGTAAGTCCTTAGGCATTGGGCACTTCTCCTGTTGCAACTCCAACTTCTTATTAGGAGTTCTCAACACTGGTTTTTTTTTTGTAATCTGTATGTCCAGGTGGACTTCAAATTAGGACGGTTCATTTAAGGACGGTTCAAACTCACGATGGCCTCAACAACAACAACAACAAAAGCCACTTACGGCCCCGTCCTCGCGGTCGCCCTCGCCCCCTGCAGTCAACATGATTGCAATTTGGGTGCTTGGCAACTGACTCGCCGTTACGACGGGGTGAACTGTGCTGGGATCGCACCACGACCGCGAGCTGCCAGCTTCCCAGCCGCAAAATCAATTGGGGAAGCTGGATTTGCTTAATGACCACGTGGGTCACTGAATGACCACAGGATTCGTTTGCTCGCTTGCTTGCATGCTTGCTTATTTATCTTTTTATTTTATTATTTTGTTTTATTTCATTTCATTATTCTATATGCAAAAGAAGGAACAGACATCCTGCGATCTCCGGAACTTAAAATTACATTTATTGTACTTCCTAAGCTTTTGTCAGCCTCTGCTGACATCGTCAGAGTATTAAGCTACCATTACAGAGATCTCTGCCTTTATATATCATTAATCAATTTAGCTAGCCCTGGCACGCATAATAGGCCCTTGGAAGGCGGAGGAGGTTGGAAGGGCCTATTACGCATGCAAGGGCTAAATTGGTTAATGATATATAAAGGCAGAGATCTCTGTAATGGTAGCTTAATACTCTGATGATGTCAGCAGAGGCTGACAAAAGCTTAGGAAGTAAATATAATTTTAGTTCCACAGATCGCAAGATGTCTGTTTCTTCTCTCTCTCTCTCTCTCTCTCTCTCTCTCTCTCTCTCTCTCTCTCTATCTATCTATCTATCTATCTATCTATCTATCTATCTATCTATCTAGGCTTAATGTTTGACATCAGATAGTTATAAAATCGGATCCAATCCTCTGATGACTCACTTAATTATTGCATCGCTTAGTGACCAAAATTCCACCAATGCTCCAAGCCCCACCCTTTTCATGGATTTGGGCAGTGTTGGGGTATAGATATGAGGTAAAGGCCTCGGATCAGGGGTGGGCTGCTGAGGGTTCGGGAGAGCCTCTAGCTAAGATTCTGTGCAATTCGGAGAACCCCCAATTCCCACTCCTGGCTGGCCCCACCCACCCAGCCCCTCCCCTCCCCGGAGTCCCCACGTGGCCCGTTTTGAATGCGGGAAAGTGCAGGGCGCGTGTGGAGGCTCAGAGAGGGCGGAAAATGGGCCCATTTCCAGCTTCCAGAGAGCCTTTGGAGACCCGGGAGGCTATTTCCGCCCTCCCGGAAGCTCGAGGAAAGCCTTCCTTTTCAAAAGGAATCCATGCAAAAAACATTTGTTTACTCGAATGTCTTAATCCTTCAAAACATGATGGTGATGGGTTTGTTTGTTTTTTTATATGATGGAACCTTGTTTTCCCCTTTTAAATGGAAAAAACAGGACAGCAAACTTGCTTTAATAAACACATCCGCGACACCCCTCTGTGGCTTTGCTTGTTTATTTGACTTTTTAAATCCCATTTTTACTATTTGTATAAATAACTCAAGGTGGAAAATGTACATAATACTCTTTTCCTCCTCCTATTTTCCCCGCAACCACAACCTGGCTGTTTGTAGCAGAAGGGGATACTTCCTTAGAGCCAAGAGGAGGCTTCGCATGAGGGCCCAGATTGTTGGGGGCAATGTGTTGACTCTGTAAACCACTTAGAGAGGGGCTGTAAAACACCGTGAAGCGGTATATAAGTCTAAGTGCTATCGCTATGGCAGGCTAACCACTGCCAGTGGTTCAATCCTGACCAGCTCAAGGTTGACTCAGCCTTCCATCCTTCCGAGGTGGGTAAAATGAGGACCCAGATTGCTGGGAGCAAGAGGCTGACTCTGTAACCTGCTTAGAGAGGACTATAAAGTACTGTGAAGCGGTATATAAGTCTAAAGTGCTATTGCTATTTCAAACAGCTATTCAGAGGTTTCAATTTAAACAGAAACAGGCAGTTTAAAACTGAGGCAGCTCTCCAGATGTGATTCAACTGCATTTCCCAGCAGGCTCAGCTATAGAGAGAGAATGCTGGGAAACGTAGTCCAGTATCATGCCAGGGTACACCATGGATTCATGTACAGGTAATCCTCGGCTTATGAACACAATTAGCCCCAACATTTCCATTACTAAGCAAAAGACTGGTTAACTGAGTTTTGCCCCATTTAATGACCTTTTCTGCCACAGTTGTTAAGTGAATCACTGCAGATGTTAAATTAATAACATACTTAAGTGATGTTCAGGGGGGGAAAAAACACCAGAAGCAAACTTAGTATAATAAACTTAAGTTTAAAAGTTCCTAAAAGTTTCCCCTGGAAAACTCAAGTTATTATAACGCGTTGTAATGGCAGGCCACTAAGCAGGATGCCCGTAAAGAGGTCAGAAACGCTTGTAGAGGGGAAAATATTCCAACCTCAAATGCTGCCTTCTTATCCAGGGGTGAAATGGGTCATCAGAAGTATTCTGAAGTCAAAATGGCTTGTTGCCAAGCTGTAGGATGGTTCAGGTCAGGTTGGTGTGCGGTTTTGAGAGGTTGGAAATGTGTTGACCGAAAACATTCCGCGCCGTTTGGGAACCAGGATCAGAGATGGATTTATTGATTCTATCCTGCCTTTTGTTATTTTTATAAGTAACTCAAGGCCCCAAACATATCCAACACACCTTCCTGCTACTACTTTCCTCACAACAACCCTGTCAGGTGGGCTGGGCTGAGAATGACTGGCCCAAAGCCACCCAGCCGTCTTTCTTGCCTAACGTGGGACTAGAACTCACTGTCTCCTGGCGATAGGCCCAAACCCACTCAGCTGTCTTTCCTGCCTAAGGTGGGACTAGAACTCACTGTCTCCTCGTAATAGGCCCCAAAATCACCCAGACAGCTTTCATGGTTCAGGCAGAACTAGAACTCATCTTCTCCTAGTGATTGGCATAAAGTCACCCAGCTGGTTTTCATGACTAAGGGTGGTCTTGAACTCAACAGTCTCCTGCTTTCTAGCCTGGTGCCTTAACCACTAAACAGGGTCTCTCAAACTGGACTGCAGGCAGATTGATAAAAGAGATTCCCCAAAGAATCCCTTATAACAGGGGTCCCCAACCTTTCCAGCTTGGGGGACTGGCCCAGCACAGGAAGGGGAGGTGTGAGTGGCAAGCACATGCATGCACACACAGTCCATTCGTGAGAGCGGCAAACACACGCGCAAAGCTCTGCTTTCACGCATGGAACTTCACACGTTAGTGGAGAGAGCTTACACTCGCACACGAAGCTCCACTTGCGCGAGTGGAGCTCCGCGAGCGGAATTCCGCATACGCGCTTGGCCGTTTCTCCCGTGGCCCGGTTTCGAACAGGCCGCAGCCCGGGGTTTGGGGACCCCTGCCTTATAAAAGCTGCTATTTGTAAAGGAAATTGTTTGGCTTGCGTGGCAAACCCACGTCCCAGCAGCGCTGAGCAAGCCCACTCAGAAGGCCCATGCGCCAACAAGCGCCAACAGCACGGCAGACCAAGAGAGAGGTGCGATAGTCCCGGGCACACAATGTATATCTTCGAGACAGAAATATACATTTTCTTTTGAGGGGGGAAAAAAAAAAAGGAAGCAAAAGCGCTAGAAAGCCCAGTCTAGCCAATTACATACTCGTACCCTCCTGCGAACTCGGGTTCGGCTCGGCCAAGGAGGTGGGCGATGAAGTCGGTCTCGCAGCAGACGTGGATGTGGTGCTCGTGAGGGCAGCAGCGCAGGCCCTCGTAAAGGGTGGCGCAGTAGCCTTTCTCCTTGCTGCAGTCCAGCTCGCCGATCAGGATGGTGTAAGCCCGCAAGACTTTGTTTTTGCAGTCGGTGCAAAACCTAGTTCAAAAAAAAAAAAAAAAAGGGGGGGGGGGGAATGTCAGGATTCCAGCAATCACCTTAATTAAATCATGATTCTTGAGGCAAACTTCAAAAAAATCCAAAGGATTCATTAGAGGCGACATACTGGCACTGCCCTGTATGAAGCCAACTCGCATACGTCATTTACAGTCCCCTGTGACCCTGTTTCCCCACTTCCCCCCCGAGCGTCTCATAAACCAGATTCTCCAATTGAGCACATTCACAGGCTGGGTGTCATCATTCACATTCTCCAATTAAATATATTCGCGGGCAAAATCTCTGGTATTTTAGTTACAGTCTTTTAAAGAGAAGAGTTGGAATGTACTTTCGCTTTCAACTGCTCTTCCAGATTTCCTTCCTCCCCCCCGCGTTTTATGGCAACTATTAAAACAGGCATAGAAATGTTTTATGAGTTGACAGGGGAATTATAGATTTATTTTTTTCTTAAAAGAGGGAAACGCTTGACAGAAAGACATTTTTTATGGGGCAAAGTACTTGATGGAAAGACATTCGCCAGATGCAGCTTTAATGGCGACCAATAATTGGATGTACAGGCAATCCTTGACTTACAACCATTTGTTTAGTACCGTCTGAAGTTACAATGGCACTGAATAAACAGCAACAGCACTTAGACCAGGGGTGTCAAACTCGATTTCATTGAGGGTCGCATCAGGGTTGTGTTTGACCTTGGGATGTGTGTGTGTGGGGGGGGGGGTAGCGGGGGCCAACTTGATGTCACTTGTCTTGGGGGCACCTGAGGTGGCCAGAGTGCCAGTGAAAACGGGGTCCTGAGCTCCCTTTTCGGCTGTGATGGGCTCTTGCAACCCTCTGCCAGAGAAAACGGAGCTCCGTAGGGCCACACACAGACCTCCCGAGCTCCATTTTCACTGGAAAACGCACTGCGGACCGGTCCTTCGCTGTTTCCAGGGGAGCTCCGCAGGCCAGGTCTAAGCACCCCATGGGCTGGATCTGTCCCCCAGGCCTTGAGTTTGACACCCCTGACTTAGACTTAAATACCGCCTCCTAGTGCTTTGGGATGGGATTCTCCTGGTTCGGACCGGTTTGGCTGAACCCCTTGCTCAGAAAATCAACTGGCAGCGAACCAGTTCGCTGCAACTATCATGTGCCCGCCCTGCCCCTGTGCTTTACCTACCTATATCATCTCACCTGATTAGCGCGGCACAGAGGATTGCTGCTTCTCCGCTGTGTTGAGCGCTGCACATGCGCATCAAGCGCGGGATCACCAAACTGGTTGTTAAACCAGGAAAATCCCACCCCTGGCTTTACAGCATTTTCTGAGTGGTTTACAATGTCAGCATCTTTCCCGCAACAATCTGGGTCCTCGTTTCACTGACCTTGGGAGCATGGACGGCTCAGTCAACAACCATGAGCCCGTCAGGATCGAACGCCACGCTCACAGGCAGAGTTCGACTGCAATGCTGCATTGTAACCACTGCGCCACCAGGTGATTTACCCGGTGACCTGGCGACTCAACAGGGACTTATGATCGTTTTCCACACAACCAATTGCAGCATCCCCGTGATCGCATGATCAAAGATGTGACGCTTGGCAGCCGACTCGTATTTACGACGGCTGCAGTGTCCCAGGGTCATGTGATCACCTTTTGAGACTTTCTGACCAGCAAAGTCAAGGGGGAAGCCAGATTCACTTAACAACTGTTATTACTAACTTAACAAGCGCAGTGATTCGCTTAACGACTGTAGCAAGACAGGTAGTAAAATGGGACAAAACTCACTTAACTGTCTTGCACACTAATGGATATTTTGGGCTCAATTGTGGTCGTAAGTCAAGGACTACCTGTAATCAGCAGTTAGGTACAATGGCAGAGAATTTAGAAAGTAATACTGATTTCAACTCTCATTCTTTAGTATTTAGTATTTTTTCCTTCCATAAGATGCTGCCCATTTATTTAGGTAATGATAAACCACGGGGACAATTAATTTAAGTATTGATGCTTAAAAGAGTTTTGTAATGATTGACAATTACTTCTCAGGAGGATACTTTATATAGCACTGTTTTTCACCTATCGATTTTTAGTATTTCAGGTTTTCCTTTTTTCATTTCATAAGATCGTGTGTATTTACTTTAGATAACGATAAACCATGGTGACAATCAATATAAACATCACTGTTTTAAGAGTTTTGTAATGATTGACAAATACTCCTCAAGGTGAAAGAGAGAATTGGGGCTTAATATTGTTTTCACTCACTGTTTTTAGTATTTTCCTTTTTTCTTTTTATAATATGTGCGCATTTATTTTAGATTAGGATAGTGTGCTGACATCAATGGAACTATTAACACTGAGAGTTTTGTAATGATGGACAATTACGTCTCAAGACGATTTAATGAATTTAGTAGTACATATTCATTGAATTACAGTATGTAATCTCTGAAATAGCAAATTTTAAGCTCTGACCATATTCTTTACTTACTCATATTTTATTTTCCATCCACTATGGTTTTTTTTTCTTTTTCTTCCTTTTTTTTTGTTTACTTATTTATTTTATTCTTTAAATGTTAAAGAGGAAGAGGGGAAAGAGATCGAGAAGAGAGAGAAACATACACACTGCATGCTTTTTCTGGCTTTAACACACACACACACACACACACACACACACACACACACACACACACATTCAAATAGGCTCTATAGGCATCTCTTGTGGTGTCCAATCCAACATGGTGAATCAAGTACAGGTAGTCTTCAACTTACAACAGTTCATTTAGTGACCATTTGAAGTTACAACGGCATTGAAAAAAGTGACATGACCATTTTTCACCCTTACGACCATTGCAGCATCCTCATGGTCACGTGATCCAAATTCAGATGATTGGCAACCGGCTCATATTTATGACCATTGCAGAGTCCTGGGGTCACATGATCCCCTTTGGTGACCTTTGACAAGCAAAGCCAACGGGGAAGGCAGACTCACTTAACAACCATGTTACTAACTTAACAACTGCAGTGATTCACTTAACAACTGTGGCAAGAAAGATCGCAAAGTGGGGCAAAGCTCACTTAACAAATTCCTCAGTTAGCAACAGAATTTTGGGGCTCCATTGTGGCCATAAGTCAAGGACTACCTGGAAAAGGGGTTTGTAGGTTCATGGGATGCTGCCACAGATTAAAAAAAAAAAAAACTGGTGTTCAAACGTTAAAAAAATAGAAGCTTCTGTGTTGTTGTTGAGTCGGCTGAGTTTCCGAATTTTCGCAACTCCAAGGACCACAGGATGCCAGCCCCCCTGCACCCCCAATCCTCCACTGTCTCCTGGAGTTTGTCCAAATTCATGTTTGTTGCGTTGATGACACCATTTAACCAGGGGTGGGATTCTAATTGTTTAACAACCGGTTCTGTGGGTGTGGCTTGGTGGTCAGGTGACTGGGTGAGGCACCAAAATAAGCCAGATGTCTCCTGCTGCAGATAGGGTTTGGACTAGATGACCTTTGAGGTCCCTTCCGACCTTGGATTGCTGTGCTGTTTCAAAGCATCCTCTGAAGCTACGTCTAGTGCCAGGGTTTGTGGTCCTTCCTTCCTCTCCTTTTTCTCTCCCTCCCTCTATCCATTCCTCCATCCATATCTCATTTACTTTCCCTTCCCTCTTTCTTTCTCTCTCTCTCTCTCTCTTTCTTTCTTTTCTTTCTCTTTCTTCCTTCCTTCCTTCCTTCCTTCCTTCCTTCCTTCCTTCCTTTCTCCCTTCCTTTCTCCCTTCCTTCCTTCCTTTCCCCCTTCCCTTCCCTCCCTCTTTCTTTATTTTCCTTTCTTTCTTTCTCCCTTGAAGGCCTCCCTGGAGCCTCCTGGCAGCCAAAACGGGGCGGGGGGGTGGCGCCAGACTCCCCCCCCCCCTGCCCCCTTTTTGCTCCCAGGGGGCCCCCTTACACTTACCTGGGAGCCAGATGGGTCTCATGGGACTCCTGGTAGGAGCAGGGTAGACGGGGCCACCTGGTTGTTGGAACTACCTGTTCACCAAACTGGATGTAAAATTAACTTCCGGTTCGTTCGAACTGGCCCGAACCGGCTGAATCTCAGCCCTGAATTTAACCATCTCATCCTCTGCTGTCCCCTTCTCCTCCTGCCTTCAATCTTTCCCATCCTCAGGGTCTTCTCCAAGGAGCTCTCTCTTCTCATTAGGTGGGCCAAAGTATTGGAGCTTCAGGATCTCTCCTTCCAAAGGACAGTGCAGGTGGATTTCCTTAGAAGCTTCTATAACTGGATTCAGCTCCTTTGAATCCACCCTAGTGTCACCTTGGACGCACCTTTACTGACCACACGGAGTAAAACGCAGAGGGGGAAGAGAAGGGCGCTCCCAATCCCAGCTACTCACCTGTGTTTTCGGAGGTAAGTTTCTAGGGTCTCTAGTAGGCAGTTGGAATCGATTAAGACTACTTCATCTCGACATTCCTGCGACATGAGTTCCCATATATCCATCCAGCAACCTCTGAAGAGGGGTAAAAAAAAAAAAAAAGAAGAAGAACATTTATTTATTTAGGGAACGTATATGGCCATCCACCCCACCTGTTCTGACCCAGGCTTCACAAAATCACGAAGCAGACTCCTTGTCCTGACAAAACCCCTTTTTTATTTGGCTAATGTGAATTCCTATCCATTCACATCCAGCAAAGTCCCGGAAAACATTCTTTCAAGGGTGAATTGCAACCACAGACCTTATCAGGCTTAGAGAGCTGCCAGGCCGATAACTTCCAAGTGCAACGTTGTACAAGAAAATACTTGGCAAGGATTTCTCTGAGAGTAACGAACAAATCTTCACACTAATTAAACAAACTAATTGTCTCCTGCAAACACCAGTCCCCTTTCGCTCCACTTTATTACCTATGGCAGGGGCCATTCACCGTCCACTTGTGCCTTTACTCCTAAGTCAACCCTTGTTCTTTAACTGTTCCCTTCTCCTGGCAGCTCTGCACATGCGCACATTGGGAACAGGCTCCAGCTGTTCTTCTGCCCCACTGATCTCAGACTCCAAAGGCAGCCGATAACTGTCGGACGACCCTGGCCCCATCTCTGCCTCTGACGCAGAGCCCTTGTCCGAGCCTTCTCCAGACTCCAGGACTGGCCCATGTTCCTCCCCAACCTCCTCACTGTCCAAGTCTGCCGCCAGCTCTGCTGGCCGCTGGCAAGCCACAACATCACACGAGTAATTCTAGGCTGCTTTCAATACTAAAAAGATATACCAAAAATATATATAAAATCTGTACAAGCTGGGGGAAAAGACCCACATTCGACACAGCCGGGCAACGGGGGCTCCATCCCATCCCATCTCCATCCCACACACTTGGAGGTACCGAGTACGAAGCCGTGTGAGAATTAAAAAACCTGATAATCAACTTTCACAAAACAATTTCCAGTGGTTTGCAAAAAGTTATTTTTCATCTACAGGCAGTCCTTGACTTATGACTAGTCGCTTAGGGACCATTTGAAATTACAGCTGATCTGGAAAAGGGGATTTATGACCAGAAGCCAAAGTTTCATTGATCAGATGTCCTTGGTCATATGACCACACTTTGAATGCTCAGCAACATGGGCACATTTAAGGCTGTTTCAAGCGTCCTACAGTCACATAACTGTGTTTTACAATTATTTTGCTGAAAAACGGCAACTTTTCCAATTTTCAGCAAAGCCCACCCACAATAGCTAACTGTGGGTTTGCTTCAGAACTGTTCCCCAAAAGGCCATAAAATTACATCAGCCACATAACTGACCCATTTTATAAATATTATAACTTATGGCCATATAAGTAGTCCTCGACTTATGACTATTCATTTAGTGACTGTTTGAAGTTACAACGGCACTGAAAAAAGTGACTTAGGACTGCTTTTCACGCTTCCAACTGTTGCAGCATCCCCATGGCCACGTCATCATGCAACTGGCATGTATTTATGATGGTTGCAGTGTCCTGGGGTCATGAGATCCCCTTTTGTGACCTTCTGACAAGCAAAGTCAATAGGGAAGCCAGTTTCACTTAACAACCACATTGCTCACTTAATAAACATTGTGATTCACTTCACAAACACTGGCAAAGAAAACAAAAATCGTAAAAATGGAGCAAACTCACTTAGTAACTGTTCTGCTTAACAGCAGAAATGTTGGGCTCAGCTATGGTCGTAACTCGAGGGTTACCTGTAACGGGCAGGCTCCATTACAGTCATAACTCAAGGACTACCTGTAAGTTTTTTCAGCATTCGTTTGTTTCCTGTCCCAAAGGTGTCCCCCCGCCCCCCAGGAAGCAAGTGGACTTCCTTGTTTTTTCTTTGAGGATGTTTTGCTTCTCATCCAAGAAGCTTCTTCAGCTCTGACTGGATGGTGGGGAACGGATTTCCAAAGAAAAATGGCAGACTACAGGAACCATTTGCGCTTCAGTTTGAGATGCAAATAACATAAGACTCGTCCCCAACAGCCTGTGCCTGTGACACAAGGCAGAAAAACATCCTGCAGCCAAGAAGGCTGCACACCCATTTGCACCACTCAGGTGACCCTGAGTACATAGATAAACCTCCAAGTGGCCTCAACAGCTCTCTAAAAAGGATGCAAA